TTATGTGGGCGTCGACGCGGAGCTGCATCTTCGCCATGGCTTCCTTGTCGACGGAGTAGTCGTCGGCCGTCCTCGCGCGGAAGTTCACCGTGAAGAGGCCCATGGCGTTGATGACCGTGCCGAGGACGGGCATGGACAGCAAATGGGAGCTCACGTAGGTCCGGCTGCGGTAGATGAGCGCGATGGGCGCCTTGGCCACCGTGAGCACCGTGTCGAGGAACGACGTGTGATTTCCGACGAGGAACAGCGGCCGCGCGTCGGCCTCGTCGCGGATGTGGCCGACGACGTCGGCCCAGACGGGGCCCAGGTCGCCGTCGGCGACGACGCGGATCCACGGCGACAGCGACAGCGCCGCGGCGAAGGCGTAGTGCGACAGGACGAGCGCCAAACCCTCGCGCTTCTCGCGGGCCACGAGCCAGTCCGGCGTGATCAGCGCGAGCTTGCAGACGACGCCGTCGACGCACATGAGGAGGCCGAGCGTGACGGCGTAGCAGGCCCGCAGGCACACCGCGGGCAAGGACTTGGAGGACGCCATCTTGGACGACGCCATCGGCCGAGGATTACCGCAGCATCCACAGCTCGCTGAATTGAATTGCACTGCAAGTGCCGCCTCGTTGACGACGGGGGGGATTGCCGGCATAGTGCAGCGCGCGCCACCGCTCCCACCGCTCCTCAGCGGTCGCGTTAATTTCTCCACCCGGGCGTTCCCGAAGCCTCGGCCCCTGAAGCGTCCCGAAACCAAGGGGCGCGTACAGCGACGTCGATGGCGCCGAGATCAGTGCCAGTGGTGCCGGATTTGTCCGTAAACGTACGTGGGACCACAGTGGACGAACAGGCCCGCGAGGTCGAATTTTGGCGGAGACCGAAATTGCGCCCGAGGCGCCCACCAACCGTCCAGGGCAGCGCCAGGGGTCATGGGACGTCGCCCCGACCACGAAAAACGACCGCTCGGCGCATTGACGCAGCGTATGGCTGGCGCGTATACGCGCGTATTCGTACGCAGGAGGTCTTTGAGGGAGCATATCGTCCCGATATGGTCGAGTTTGAGAGAGCTTGCTGCACTTCCCGAAGCCCACCGGGCAGGACTGGTACAAACTCGCGGGTGGGGAAATTCATTGGTGCGCGCGCGCGCGCCGCCGGCGCCGGCTTGTGGCAACACCCCCCATCTTCAATGCCGAGTTTGTGTGGAGCTGCATTCTATTTTGGCGGCATCAGTATGGTCAACGCTCGCGGCTGCTGCAGCATGCGCGTTCTGCTTCCGCTCCTCGCCGCCGTGGGGGCGGCCCGCCGCCGGCTCGACGCCGCGTGCGTCGACGATGATATATATTTCGTTCTCTACATGGACTGCGGCCTGTTGAGCGGGAAGCCCCAGCTCTGCGCGAAGAAGAGCGCGGACAAGCAGCTCGGCTACGAGGCCTGCCCCTTCGCGTGCGGCCTCTGCGACTCCGGGGAGGAGGACTCGACGAGCTGGCACAGGACGCCAAGGGAGGACACTTCCCCCCAACGGCCTCTCCAGCCCCGTCAACGGCCTCCCAACGGATAGTCCCCAGTGCGAGACCTGTGACAATGGGCCATGGCAGGAAGACGATTACAGCGACGGGGCCTACGGCAACGGGGACGACGGGGCCTACGGCAACGGGGACGACGGGGCCTACGGCAACTCGGGGGACGCGAACTACAGTTTCGATTACGGTGATGGCGGCGGTGGCGATTACAGTAATAGCAGCGATGTCGGTCCATACGGGAACGACTAGTGCCTCTGTTACGGCGGTGGTGAGATCGGCCTTGTGTGACCTCGACGCAGGAGGTACCGCCCTGCGCCAGCCTCGGCCTGGTTCTTCCGCGGGCCCTCCCCT